CGATGCCGAACCTCTGCATTACTGACATGGTGTTGCCACTGAATGTCAGCAATCCTTCGGAGACAGCGATGATCGAACACAGTGTCGTCTAACGTCCTCAACTCGGAGAGGCCAGGTTTCACAAGCATAGAGCAAAACTGCTCTCACCGATGCGTTGTAGATCCGACCTTTTACAGTCAGACTAACATCACGAAAGCGCCAAAGATGGCCCAGATTGGCATAAGCCTCTCTGGCTTTCACTATACGTGCATTGATCTCATCACTCACGTCGCCACCAGCACTTATGCAGCTACCTAGATACACGAACTTCTCGACTACGTCTATCTGCTCACCATCCAGGGTGAGCACAGGATTAGAATTCTACCAGTCTTGTAGAAGTACTTTCCACTTCGAAGGTGCAACCCTGTCTAACCCCATGCTTGAATGGAACAATGGAGAGAGGTGGTTGTATGCCCTCACTCTACCTGAGGTGTTTGCTTATAGGGCGTTTCAGATGTTAATGAACTTCTCAGGTACACCCTTTTTCAATAGACAATCCCAGAGAGCAGTCCTGTCCAACGAATCAAAGGCAGCCCTGATGTCAAGAAACACTATGATTGTTGGCCTTTGATAAGTATGACGGTGTTCCAACATTTGGTGGAGGGTGAGGATATGAACAATACATCCTCGACCAGAACGAAACCCAGCCTGCTCCTCACGAGTCAATCTTTCTCGGGTTTTGAACAACCTACGAAGTATGACGGAAGCCAATAGCTTGGACGCAATCGGAAGTAGACTTATCTCCCGATAGTTGTTACAGGAACGACGTGAACCCTTTTTAAAGTAGGGACAACTATCGACTCATTCCATGACGTTGGTACACTCTAGTTCCCAGACCTTTGTAAACAACGTTGTCAGTTCCTAAGTCAAAAAGTCACCACCATCTTTAAAAAGAGCCGGAGATAAGTCATCTGGGCCCGGTGACTTGGGGCGATTCAAGAGTTGGAGTTCCTTGAGGATTTCCGCCTCATTTGGTGGATCAGTCGTCACCGACCATGGAGAGGAGGACAGTCTAGCCGATGTTGCCGGAGCAGCAAGCCAGTTGAAATGCCCTTCGAAAAATTTTGCCCATCGTCCAAGACGTCGATGGATGTTAGTGATTGGTGTTCCGTCATCCTCGCAGATTGTTTAGATCACACCAGACTTCTTACTGCCAGTAGCTCGGATGAGTTGGAAGAGCTCCCGGAAATAACCAGATGCAGCTGCTGCTTCCAGTTCATTAGCATGCTCTCATATCTCATCAAGATACCAAAGAAAGGAGACTTGAGCAAGTGTGAGAAAAACAGAGGCATCACACTACTATCAGTATCAGGGAAAGTGTTGCTGAACAGCATGGAAGACACCCAAATCCGAGATCAACAGTCTGGATTCCGTAAGGATCGGTCGTGCACAGACCGAATTGCGACACTATGGATAATCGTCGAACAATCAGTTGAGTGGAACTCGTCACTATACATCAACTTCATTGACTATGAGAAGGCATCTGACAGTGTAAATGGGAAAATATTATGGAAACTTCTTCGACACTATGGAGTTCCTGAGACGATTGCCAACATTATACGGAACTCATACAATGGATTACAGCGCAAAGTTGTGCATGGAGGACAGCTGACAGATGCATTTCAAGTAAGGATCGGAGTCAGACAAGGCTGTCTACTCTCCCCCTCCCTCTTTCTTCTAGTGGTCGGCTGGATTATGAGGACCTCGACATCTGAGGGAAGACACGGAATACAATGGACAGCTCAAAACCAATTAAACGATTTAGACTTCGCAGATGACCTATCCCAAACACACGAACAAATGCAGATGAAGACAATTAGTGTAGCAACAGCCTCTGCATCAGTAGGCCTCAACATACACAAAAAAGCAAAATCCTTAAATACAACATGGAGAACACCAACGCAATCACACTTGATGGAGAAACTCTGGAAGATGTGGAAACGTTCACGTACCTGGACAATACCGTCGATAAACGAGGAGAATCTGATGCAAACGTAAAGGCGAGGATTGTAAGATACTGAATGTTCGTTGACCGGATGCCAGCAGCAACAGCCTAATATGAGAGAGAACAAACCAGTTTCCAGTCGAAGAGGAAATTGGAAATAGATGTTGGAAGTGGATAGATAGGACACACATTAAGGAAATCATCAAACTGAACCACGAGGTAAGCCTCAACTTTGGATCCTGATGGGAAGCAGGAAAGAGGAAGGTCAAAGAACTCACCGCGCCGAGAATATATAGCAGACATGAGTAGCAACTGGAAGGAACTGGGAATGGTTGTTTGGAAAAAGTTGGATGGAGAGTGTTGGTGAGCGGTCAATGGTCCTCCACTAGTGGTAACAGTTCATTAGTAAATTAGCAAGTCACAAACACTGCTTGACACCAGATAACTTAATCAAAACGAATGATACTGTGTACATCTAGTGACAGCTTGATTCACTTGTCATGGAGAAGTATTGAACGTCAATATTGCAAACTTATTGTTAATAAGGTCTTAAACAATTTGAGAAGTAAACTATCAGTCATTTAGAGCATTCAGTTACTAAGTGAAAGCGATGACACCAGAGCGACATCAAACAGATAATTGTCTATAACATATTAACCTTACCCAAAATTCAAACTGAAAAACTAAGTCACTAAATTTCATTCAATTAAAGCAGATTGAGACAAAAATTCAAGAGTTGTCTTCATTTTCTTTTTAGTTTTGCAATATAAATTCACAATAACCAAAGTATCTACATGAACTTGAAAGTTGATCTTTCCACTGCTAGACGTAAAAATTAATCAATGTCAAGATAATCCTACATTGACAGTTTACTGTCAATGAGCTTATTTCGCCAAAACACTTCCAAACCTAATATAATGTCTTGAAATCAGACTGTTTTTTTCATATTGATGCATTAGCTGAATGTTGATCTCTTCTACTGATACGGTCGTTTGGTGTGACTGTGATATACTTTTTTATTTAACGCATGAGTCGATCTAAGTTAAACCACCACTGAAAACCTGGAATCACTGGACAGCCGTTTCATCCTAGTATGAGACTCCTCAGCAGTGCACATCCAAGATCCTGCACACGGAAATCGAACTCAAAACCTTTGATCTTGCGCACCAACGCTTAATCACTGAGTTGGCATTTAATAGTCTTGACGTCTAACTCCAGTCAATCCACGATATTACGCGATCATCTTCCATTGTCTTCGGTGGGTAACTGCCTCACCCGACACAATTTATCTTCGCAACTTTTCAGTAGAATTCCGTTGATTTCCTCTCGCAGCCAGCCACTAGTAAGAGCATAATAATTATCAGTAATATGTTGTGGAGATTGTTGAATCCCATTGAAATCGTAGATGGATCTAAGCTTTACCGACTACTCATTGTAACGGAACGGCAATGGTTTGTCGACTCAAAGAAAAAAACAAGGCTGTAAAAGATTGATTTATTCACCTACCATTCAGGAGTATGATGACAACAAATTACTTATGATTTTAAATGTTTAGTCGATCGATAAATTTGGATAAACTGTACTAGTAATCAATCGATTATCTTATGTATATGACTGATTTTGTGATATGTGCTACTGACGTCGACAGCTATAAGTAGTATATATCATCAATCGAAAGTGAAATGCATGGCGACAGAAAGTTAATAAGATTGAAGGAAAGAGAACGAGAACAAAGAATGATTAATGTGGAAATGAAAGAACAATGAAGTCTGAAACAATCGATTGACATTTTACAAATGAAGTATTTACTATATGATTCTCACATTTTATTAAGGTATTCTGTAATTTTGTATCCAAGTTCATTCGATCATCTCCAATTATGCTCTCGTTCACTACAACTTGACTGAATCATATATTTTGTTTATTCCTATCATCTAACTGAACAGAATCCAGAAGGGATAAAACACAAGTTCTTTAAAGTTAAATTAATTTCTGTCCATGTAACTTAACGCCCATTGTCACGATGAAATGTGATCATGGAATTGTTGGGTCGGCTTCCGGAGAACTACAACGGAGCCTCCAGAGGCCCAGAAAAGAGCCGAAGAGTCCTAGCCAATCAGAGTATGATGGAACGTTCGAGAATTCCAGCGTGGCGTGCTACAATGGTTGGTAGCATAATATGTTGTTAACGGATTGGCTGAAATATGATGTTGATTTAACAGACGCCAACATCTATAAATACCCTTGATTTTCTGTACAAAAATGAACCTTGGGATAAAGTACTTTCTCTCATACTTGTGTCTTCTCTCTAGTGTTCAAGTCACTGTGTAGTTCTAGTCTGCGGGTTTCGGGAATAGCTTAGGAATCGTATATGGCGTTCAACCTACACGACTTATCAGGAATTTTGGTCAGATTTTGATGTGATCATGGCAACACTCCTACAATCAATTTTGATTATGCTTAAATTTTGTTAATCCTTTTAATTAACATACTTAACAGACAATTTTATTCGGACAGTAACATTTCGTTTATTTCTTTGTATTATAATCACTATCTTGTTTGTATAAACATGTACACTTGATCACATTACAGACTCGAGCTTAAATGTCGATTGCTTAACTATTGTTCGATGAATCATTCTCTTTCCCACGTATATATTTACTCGAATCCTATTAGCCTTTACTTTGCCTAGCTGCGCCTTGATTCGATTTGACTATAAATTCACCTGTGTATTCGCTCACACATATATATTAACCTGTTTACTCCAATTCACTTAATATACTTGTAACTTTGTTATCTGTGCTATATCCGATAATAAACTGTAGTTACCACTCCTTATTGCTTTCTGATTTCAAACACCATTGGAATTTATATAGTAATGGTTATCAAGGTGATTGATTAAGGAACCAAAGCCACTACAAACTGTCTAACATAACCATTATGCAATGAGATCACTAATGGGGTAAAGAGAAGAAAACACATCTTTTAAAAACTATTTGGTTATTATTATCTCCAATCAACAGTTATACCATATCCATATACTAAAAAGTATCCAAATTAATTGAATATTGATTTCAGATGATAATCGAATTGATTGATTGCATAGATCTTTTTTTGTACAACATGTAGTGATATTTAACCATGGTGATACAGATTTATTCGATGGAGTACATATATCCTTTATACAACTCCTGTTTATAGCGTTTAAAACACCATTTTTTAGTTTGACTATTTTCTACAGAAAACAATACAAGAAGTAATAATATTAATAATAATGTAATCGATTGGCTAAGAAAGGGTCGCATTCCTACAATTGAAGAAAATATGAAACTCAAAACAACTGTCCGTCAATCAATATCAAAGTCACAATCTTCAATATAAATGTCAAGACAGTCAGTTCTACTGTATGGAGTTGGAACTTGGAGAACTACAACAACCATCATCAAGAAGGTACAAGTATTTATAAATAGTTGTCTACGCAACATGCTCAACATTCATTGACCGGATATCATCAACAACAGCCTACTGTGGAAGAAGACAAACCAACTTCCAGCTGAAGAGGAAGTTAAGAAAAACCATTAGAAATGGATAGGACATACATTACGGAAATCATCAGACTGCATCACGAGACAAATGCTAACTTAGAATCCTGAATGGAATCGGAAAAGTGGAAGGTCGAAGGACACACTTTGTCGGGAAATAGAAGTAGATATGAAAAGGATGACTAACAACTGGAACGAGCTGGAAAGAATTGCCCATGATAGAGTTGGATAGAGAGTGCTGGTGCTTCACGAGGAGTAATAGGAGTAAGTAAGTAAGTAATCAATAAATGTGACAGTTTACCTATCAAACTGATATACCACAGGCTAATGAATTCAAACAAACATATTTAGGTGTATTGAGTATACAAGATTATCTTCTATGTAAAACGGATTACAATTTAATTCTATTTGTCAACTGTTTTGTGTTTATGTGATAATATATGATTACATTAGTCTATAATTTGGTTCATGATTGTAGTAAGATTTATTGAGTTGAATATAACCAGCGATATTAAGTGATCTATTGTTTAGTCCTACTGATCAATATCAAATTAGTTATTTTTCTGTCATAACACGGATAGTCCATGTAAATCTCAGTGATTGACATTTTAATTAGTTTCAGTAATTTTATTATTTCACGGATTGAAATCATGAGTCAGTTGAAGCTAGACCACTATGGAAAACCTGAAAGCACTGGACGGCCGTTTCGTCTTAGTATGGGACTTCTCAGCAGTGCACATCCACGATCCCGCACTATGCGGGATTCGAACCCAGGATGCCGGCTCAGTGGTCTAATGGTTAAGTGCTCGCGTGCGAAGCCAGTAGGTCCTGGGTTCGAACCCCACAGGGTGCGGGATCGTGGATGCGCACTGCTTCCATGTTTTCCATGGTGATCTAGCTTCAACTGACTCATGAGTTCAATCTGTGAAATTTCTAAACCCCTTCTGATAATTTTATTATTGTTATTAGAAGGGGGTTTTATGGAGATTTTAGTAATTTTGTAGTTGAGCTCATAAGCCAATTAAATCTAGACTACTATGGAAAAATCTGGAAGCACTGGATGGTTGTTTTACCCTATTGTGGTACTCTTCAGAAGTACACATCCATAATCCAGGACCTATCGATCTCGCGCGCGAAGGCTTAACCTCTAGACCACTGAGCTATCTGGCATCCAACAGTGTTAATTTTAGACATACATGATGGTCTAGCTTTAATTGACCCATGAACTCAACTATAAAATTATTTACTGCTCTGAAGAATTTAAGGATCAGATTGATGAGTAAAACATTAGAATTTCAATTACTTTAATCAAGCAGAGGAATATAGAAATATTCCTAGTAAATGTGTAACATTTTAAACACAAGATATCAGTGAACTGAATGATGATAATTTGACTTATACTATGTAACATATACTATGATTCTTCCAACCATCCGAATCTCTTAACATTAAACTGTATGACAGCTTGAATAAGTAGAAAATAAGTGTAATCAGTATGGGGATTTGTGGAGATTGTAGTTTTTCACAGATGAAATCACGAGTCAATATAAGATAGACCACCAGTGAAACCATGAAAGCACTGGAGGGCTGTTTCGTTCTAGTATGAGACTTCTTAACAGTGAACATTCACAGCTGTGACCATAGGAGTCTAATCTGTGTCGAGTGGAGACAGTTATTCATCTCAGACAATGGATTAAGGGTTGCGCTTAATCATAGATCAAAGTTACACATTAACACTGTTGGATGCCAGTTCAGTGGTTTACAGATTAAGCGTAAGCGGGTGGAACTAAACGTCCTTGTTTCGAGTCCAGCACGCGAGATCGTTGGTGAGCACTTCTGAAGAGTCCCATACCAGGACGAAACGGCCATCCAGTATTTTCAATAGTCGTCTAACTTAGATTGATTTGTGATTTCAACTGTGAAAATAAATATAAGTTTTATGAGAAATATATTTTTGTTAAACCTCACCTGGCAGGATTTACAGTCATTGCTAATTGTGAAATTAGCTTTAACTGTGAGATTTGTACAATTTTGACACACATAACATTTTAAAGCTCCCGAATTTCCTAAATTTGAAATGTTTAAAAAAAAACACAATTTTATTTCAATATTATCAGTACTATATTCAGTAGTGTAATAGGAAAATTCAACTATCCTTCATCGTTCATATCATAAACTGACCTAATTGAAAATCAGAAAGCACTCACTAGACAACAATTTCATCTTAGTATAGGATATTTTAGCAATGTTCATTCATGACCTCTACGAAAGGGGATCAAAGTCAGAACCTTCAGCTTTGGTAACAAACTTATAAACTTTAGACTATTGAGCCAACTCCCAATTGTTTACATCCCTTACTTGAATCAATTTATCAGATTTTATAACTATTTCCTAATGCCAAGGTGAAGCATATAAAATCCTTTCTATGATTCAAATTATCCTCTTCATGACTAATTGTTATGTCCCAACGAGAATTATAGATGGTAACTTTTGAGAATTATTAATGAACCAATACCATACATAGATTAATTAACTATTCGTGTTCTTCTTATTACAAGCTTTATTTTGACTCATAGATTACTATTATAAGATTTACCATTCTTGAGTTATGTCTAGTCTATTAATCACTACCTGCCATACTCACAGCCACATTTGGTTAAATCTTGTACAAATGTTGTTTTCTGTTTTATGGTATAATGTGGTCTGTTTGGTTAGTAGATAAACCTATTATGTTTGAAACATATAATTCATATTGTGGAGGTTGAGATTAGTGTTTTGGATTCAATAGGTATAAGAGAAGGATCGATAAAGATTATAGACTGCTCATACGGGTTTTATGCGTCATTGGTCCGATCGATAATTGACCATTCTCTAACTGGCGTCGTGGTCGTCGTCACGTGATATACTGATAGGGGCACGAACCAACAAGATATAACATTAAGATTGTCTTTAGTAAACTGAGTTATGAGTAATATTCATCATATTAATGCTTGAACTTTATGGTAAACTTTAGAAAATTATATTTAATATTAGCTAGTTGCATCAAATTCATACGTTCCCTTTTTTTCATTTAACTACAATTCAAACTTGAAACTATTCAATTACAAACGAATGTCTTACCTTTAAAAGATATTGAAAGAAAGGGCGGTCTGTTTGAGCATCTGGGCTACCTGATTCCTGCCATCTAGATATTTCAACAAGTTATCTATTTTTGTTTGTTTTAATATATCATTATGTCTATTAATCACAATAACCTATTCTGCTGCGTTTCTAAAAAGTGTACAACCTTTCGTTGTTAAAGTTACAAAAAAAACTCAATAAGAGAGAATGTGGTTTCTGGCAATATACAACGAAAAGAATGTACATGATTCAGATGTTCATTCAGTGAACTGCTAACATCTAATTGGCGATCACTCAATATTTATCGCCAGGACTGACCAAGAAGAAAGAAACGGAAACTTATTGAAATACTTTGAGCTGAGAATTCTATATTGTACCAACAATAGATGATATTGAATAAAGCTAATGATAATAATAATAATAATAATAATAATAATAATAATAATAATAACAAGAGATAGATTTCTTCTCCAATATTAGTTTTACAGAATTGTACAACTAGATTGATCATTGAGTACAGACTAGTATCATGTTTATCTAGTCCTTGAATTCAATGTGATCATTAACCTAAGTGATTTAATATCTTAAGCATTATATTAAGATCTAAAATGATGGAAGGTAGTGGATAGAAAATGCAGTTTTACAAGAGGTCAATTACTGTCTTGGATAAGTCAGTGGTAACGTCACAGACTAAGAAACTGGATGACGTAGGTTTGAGTCTAACAGAAAGCATCAATTTCGTTAAGATTATAAGTAGACTTTCATGACGAGTCCTAGATTGCACGTAATGTAGGTTCAGCTTTTCCTACCGACTACCATCAATCACCTGACATTTCAAAAGTACTATACTGACTGAGTATATCCATCATGCTATATAACCGTAAGATTATAATTACAGTTAGATAATGAACTATTCTAGGCATAAATGAATCAAAAAAATATATTCAAACAATTATTTACAATCTAAATAGTTCTTTGATAGTTTGAATATATTTTATGAAAAGAAAAGATTCTGAAGAACCATCATCAATAAGGTAAACGTATTTATAAGTAGTTGTCTACGCAAGATACTCAACAACAACCTTCTGTGGGAGAGGACAAACCAACTTCCAGCTAAAGAGGAAATTAGAAAAGGACAATGGAAATGGATAGGACATACATTACGCAAATCATCAAACTGCATCACGTGACATGTGTTAACTTAGAATCCTGAATGAAATCAGAAAAGCGGAAGGTCAAAGAACACACTTTGTTGAGAAATAGAGGCAGATATGATGAAAAGGATGACTAACAACTGGAACGAGCTGGAACGGATTGCCCATGACAGAGTTGGATAGAGAGTGATGATGGGCAGTCTGTGCTCTTTAATGAGGAGTGACAGACGTCAATTAAGTAAGTAAAGAAAAGAATCATCATCAGACTATCTTAATGATGATTAAATTCCATTGAATATTCAAATAAAGTACTTTACATTATTACAAACCCATACACAATCAGTATATTAATGTAACATGGAAATCCACTTACCTATATACATTGAACTTATCAATATAAAGATAAACATGATAATTATAACCATACAATTCTGTTTATTCAACATATTCCCTTATTGTAAAATAAACTTTAAACAGATAAACAACATGTTGAATTCAATTATCAATATCTATTTATAAATATTGTGCTACATTATGATTGGTCATCTAAAAACTATCCATTCATAGATAAAGTATCAATTCTCTTTGATGTGTTTAAACTAAGTTATGATTTATATGCAAAAATGAATAGTTGGCTAGCAATGGAATCTTGGATATGCGTTTCATTCAATTTGTAACTCGTCAGCTAAATGTACCTTCATCTCGAAATTGTTAATGTTCACTGTGGGACTGGAATCCAGTATTGTTCGCTACAAACGCCATCGCGTTATCTACGTAGCTACTGTGTCTTAATAGCCAATTGCTTGTGTAATGGGGTGAAGTTTTAAATTCACTAGGTATTGTTTTACTTGTATTTTCTCAATAGGACAAAACGTGCTTCTTGGATTTCACTGTTAGCCACTATCTATATTTGTTTACAATGCTTGTGAATTAAGGCTATATGGGTATATGTCAATAAGAATCTGATCAATTGCAGTCGTAAACAGAAATGGGGAGATTTAAACAAACAATTCCAAGTGATTTTAAGTTATGATTGTCCATTTTAATAATAAATAATTATCAATGTGTACAAATGTCAATTATTTTAAAAAAAATTAATGGTTGAATTCATGAGTCGATATACGCTAAAGCATTATTGAAAACCTAGAAACACTGAATGGTTGTTTCATTCTAGTATTGGACTTTTCCGTAGCAATGCATATCAACGAGTCCGTATTCGGGATTCGAACCCAAGACTTTAGGTCACACGGGAGACCATTGAGCTATCTGACATCCAATGATGTTAACGTCTAACTATTGAGGACGTTAGGTCCACAGAACTCACTCTGAAAAGGTCCTAATTTTGTAATTTTATTCTGAAAATTTGAATTTTATGTTTTCGCGTCGACAGACGTTTAGTTAACCTACAGCTTACATTTCCCACTCGGAAATCCTTGACTGTCATTGGTAGTTGATGAATTTTTTAGTACGTCACTTTGTGGCTCTCTCAAGGGCGTTTCTATCATTGTAGGCTTGATTTGTATGCTTAGTGACCTAGTACTTTCTAGGTGCTTGTAGAATAGATTCTCTACGTCTCATCAAGATTTATTGATTTAGACGGCAGGGTCGGTGGCAACAAATTAGAATAGCCTATCATGTCACTATATCTTTGACCTTTGTCCTGTTTACCGAATAAGGTGAACTCGTAATAGTATACAAGCATATCATTAACTTTTTAATTTTAGTGAAATGTTATGAATTAAATGATTGTTTCCACTGACTTTCTTTTCAGTCATCCCCATATATTTGGTGTTTTTAGAGAGAAAAAAAAACAATAGGATGAAACGGCTGTCCAGTGCTTCCAGGTTTTCCATGGTGGTCTAACTTCAACTGAATTATGATCTCAACCATTGAAGTTTATTTATTTTGCCTTTTTACACAAAAAATATTATAGTTGATGTTATCTATAACATTGTTGTATCTATTACATATGTTCTACCTTAGAATTTTTGGTCAATTTTTCTTATTTTTCATTTAAGATATTTTGATTGAACTACATCAAAGTGAACATCAACTCTGAGATGTAGGTACATCTAGCTGATGAATATCAAATAGGATGAAACGTGTATATTAGATTCCACTACTAACCACTCACAATTGATTGATCACTGGGTGGTGATCAATAAGGACTAGACAAGCATGACATTGATCACCACCCAGTGATCAATCAATTGTGATTACATGTCAGTCCTACAGGAGGTTAGTCACGGCTCGGATAGCTCAGTGGTAACGTCTCTGACTGTGAAGCTGGGTGACACGAGATCGAATCCGCCAGGGAGCACCAGTTCCCTCAAGATTACAGGTACACCTTGCTGACGAGTGCCAAATAGCACGAAACCCGGATCCAGGGTTTCCTGTTGACTACCTCCAACCACCATCTAAATCTCACTACTAACCACCATATATCTTTGATTACAATGCTCATGACTTGAAGTAATATCGAGGTAATCCATACAGGATGCACATACTCCAATAAGAGATTGATCAATTGCGGTCCTAAATAACAATGTTAAGATACAAGTAAAACAATACCAAGTGAATTTAAACTTCACCCCATTACAATTGGCAATTGGTTACCAGGACTCAGTAGCTGAGTGGATAACGTGATGGCGTTTGGAGCGAACGGTACTGGGTTCGAGTCCCATAATAAACGTCAACAATTGATTGCAGGTACATCCATCCCACGAATCCCAAATAGAACGATGAATTTGTACTGGACTTTACTGCTAGCCACTATACATCTTTGCTTACAACACCCGTGACATGAGGTAATATCGAGGTAGTCCACACATGATACATATATTCCAATAAGAGATTGATCAATTACAGTCCTAAACATCAATGGGAAGATACAAGTAAAACAACATCAAGTGAATTTACACTGCATTTAACCATAGTAAATAGTTACGGATAATTTGCTATGAGTCTAAATATGTGTACACACACTTCAAACTTGACGAATATTTAACTGAAAACAAGTATAGCTCTCCTTATTCTCTGCCTTCCTCTTTCACCTAGTGACCGACTGGACCACAAAGACATCAACTTCTGGGGCGCGCATGGAATACAGTGGACATCTAAGATGCGGTTGGACGATCTAGACTTCGCAGATTATCTGACTATACTATCGCACACGCAACAAAAATGCAGTAGAAGACGACCAGTGTAGAAGCAGCCTCAGCAGCAGTAGGTCTCAACATGCACAAAGGGAAAAGCAAGATTATCCGATACAACACAACATGCAACAATCGAATCACACTTGACGGAGAAGATCTGGAGGATGTAAAAACTTTTACATATCTGGGCAGAATTATTGATGAACATAGTGGATCTGATGCAGATATGAAAGCGCGGATCGGCAAAGCAAGAGCAGCATATCTACAAGGCAAGCTCTCACATGGAATCCTCAAGGTCAAAGGAGGAGAGGAAGACCAAAGAACATAATACGTTGAGAAGTGGAGACAGACATGAGAAAAATGGACAAGGATTGGATAGAACTGGAAAGGAAGGCCCAGGACAGAGTGGGTCTGAGGATGCTGGTTGGCGGCACTGATATTGGGGAACTACTGATTTACAAAATAGGGATTCTTAATACTTTATAGAACAATACGTTAAATGTAATAATTTTTGTTACCAACACGCTTAAACTGTCTTTCTAGCCGGTTTCGATACACTTAACTATTGCTGTATGTCAACTGCAACACTAGAGAGAATGTGTGAATTGCGAGTAGAAGCTTTATTCCAAGGTTAGTTTCGGTACAGGAAAAATGAGGATTTTTATAGAGTTACATACAACTTTGAGCTTCTGAAAATTGCTGGAACCATACTAAATATAGTAGCGCCATAGATAAATATCCAATCAAAACTGTGGCAAATGATACTTTATTTTTTAGATGTTTCTATGACGATTCTATTTAATGCTGATTTGACAGAACGCATCCTGTCGTTTTTGGTCTTCTGAGGACTTTAACAAAGTATATTTTCGGGACACCTCCAACGAAACTTCAAAAGATCACTTCTCGTTTAGAATTTCTTACTTTATAAATCAACCAGAGTGAGCTCTCATTGCGTAACCTCAAGTCTATCGGTTCGAACCCTGATGGGGTATTGGAGAGGCACTATCACTGAAGTGTTGTAAATTAGGATGAAACAGATATTCAGTACTTTCTAGTTTCCATTAGTCATTTAACTTAAGTCAGTCTATGGTGTAAACTGCAAAGTTTAGGAATCTCTACAAACCTTTAAATTAGATAGAAAAAAATTCCATTTAATTTATTTTAATTCTTAACCTTAATCTTAAATCCTATGACATTTTATCTTAAAACTAACATGAAGCTTTATCTAAATCAGGTACCATTTGAATTGAAAACCACATTCTTTCTCCTCAAAGTGAAAGCCTAATTCTGCCAGATCTGCTCATGTAGAGCATCATTCATTCATACAGACATACTTACTTTCCCCTGTTACTACTCAGGGAGGAACATAGGCCGCCCACCAGCACCCCCATTCAACTCTGTCCTGAGGAATCCTTTCCGGATCCTTCCAGTTGCTATTCATCCTTTTCATATCTGCTTCTGCTTCCCGACAAGTGTGTGCTTTGGCCTTCCTCTTGGCTTGCCTCGTGATGCACTTTGGTAATTTCCGTAATGTATGTCATATCTATTTCGATTGTTCTTTCCTAATTTCCTCTTCAGCTAGAAGTTGGTTTGTCCTCTTCCACAGTAGGCTGTTGTCGATGATATGTGGCCAATGAATGTTGAGCGTGTTGCGTAGACAACTATTTATGAATACTTGTACCTTGTTGATGATGGTTGTTGTAGTTCTCCAAGTTCCAGCTCCATACAGTAGAACTGACTGTCTTGACATTTATATTGAAGATTGTGACTTTGATATTGATTGACGGACAGTTGTTTTGAATTTCATATTTTTTCAATTGTAAGAATGTGGCACTTGCTTTGCCAATCTTCGTATTTACGTCTGTGTCCTATCCTCCTTGTTCATCAACGCTGCTTCACAGTTACATGAAAGATTTCATTTGTTCCAGGGTTTCTACATCAATTGTGATTGGGTTATTGTTCTCTGTGTTGTATTTGAGGATCTTGGTTTTTCTTTTGTGTATATTGAAGCCTACTGATGCTAAGGTTGCTGTTACACTAACTGTCTTCATCTGTATTTGTTCGTGTGTATAATCTAACTTCAATTGACTCATGATCTAAACTATTAAAATTACCTTTCAAATTGTTTAACAGTTTTATTACCTGAAAGATGAATAGAATCTTTCCAATTGATTTTTCATTATCAATTTGTAAGTAGTATTGTAACTTGTGTATACAAGTAGAAATCTGCCTCCTCCTCCTCCTCCTCCTCCTCC